GCTGCCTTGAAAACTGAACTGGGAACTGGCCTGAGGCTGCACTGTTCCAAATTCAAATGACAAAGCTAAACAAACACAGTCACTGAGCCATGCCAAAGAATAACAACCCATCTAATTGTGCTGCCCGAGACACCTCTGCTGCTGCCCTCTGTGTTGACGTCAGCCATCTTGAAGTCCATGCTGTACAAGGAAACGGTTCTGCACTTAGACCTGCATTCAGGCATGACTGGCAAGCCTGCTTCATACAGTACGCACAGAATTTTACTAAGAAACTCATGAGAAGGTGAGAGACTGAGGTCTTTTTTTTTAAAGTAGTAACGGAAAACTAAAACTGGACTTTGATTCAAATTGTGCTGACACAGGAGAGATTATAAATAACATGTTCACGATCTCGCCAGCTTTTGCATTTTTTTGTACTGACTGGATAATGTGGAAATGATCTCAGCAATTTCATCTGGCAGCACGGGAGCTCAAGGGCAGGATATTCCCTAAGCAAAGGTCTCATCGTGTCCACAATTAGAACAATTAAAATCCGCGGTTTACACCTATGAACCCTCACTTCAAAGTCCTGGGAAGACAGCTGTGCATCAAACCACCGCTGTAAGAACAAACAGAACAGCTCATAGCATTTGTTTTAGCAACAGTTACTTAAAGATGGTCAAACTGTGCCAAACTTTTTAACAGACCAATGAACGAAGAAGCAAAATTCCGCCATTTCTCAAATAACGCATTAAAGACAAAACCTAAAGAAAGAAATCATCATCCATTACACTTAAAAGTATGGCAGCATCCATACAAACCACAGCAGTGCAGCCTACAGTAAAAAGAGGAACTCCTTACTGAGACAAACTAAAAGGTGTTGCTACATTAATAGCAAGCAGAATCCAAGGATTAAATACAGCGCAGAGAAAAGGCTGTGAATATGAATTCGAGAATTAGAATTCTATTATTTTGATTAAACAAGGGCAAGAAATCACTGGGATCCATCCAGAAACAGCATGATGGTACCCTTGGATCAATATGTCAATAGAAATACTCTTTCTATTCTGCTCTTGTTTGTTGTGACCTTTTCCATTGTTCTAACGAGCTGGGTTAGTGCATTTTACCTGCTGCGGGCTCTTTTTATAAACCAACACCAGCCACACGTGTCCAGCTTTTCTGTTTTTTGGGGGTGTGGTGTAAACGCATACAAACTGTAGTGTTCTGCTGCTTCTTTAACTTTTAAAACAGCCTGCAGTTCGCAATGCCTGAAATATGCCCGTCTGCAATGCAGCTGATTCCTTGCAAGCCCCTGATCTGTGATGCCACCTCACACCCTTGCAGAAACGTTTCCACGTGCTGTGACATTTTGAAACTATCACCTCGCACCCATGAAACACTGTAGGGAAGACTTGGGTTCTTTCTCTGCCAGAATGTGGTTTGTGGCCATGACTTCTATCTTCTGTAGAGGCCAACTCAGATTCCCTCTGATCAAGGTGAACCTGCTCACTGTTACTGTGGCTGTTTTGCTTAAAACGCTCACATAATCCAGCTGAAGCTGTGAAGGAGGACAGGCAGGGCGCCACTGTACTTCTATGAGCCAAGTAACAGGTTTTGAGCCTGTTTCTGGTTTCACAGAGACCAGTGCACAGTACAAGACTCTACTAAACCCTCAATACATTTTTCTACACAACACAAGGAATTTAAGCAGCAGAAGAACCTTTTAAATTCAGC